TAGATAGATAGATAGATAGATAGCAATCGAAAGAGATAGATAGCAATCGAAAGAGATAGATAGATAGATAGATAGATAGATAGATAGATAGATAGATAGATAGATAGCAATCGAAAGAGATAGAAAGAAAGAAATAGGATGAGATAGATAGATAGATAGATAGATAGAGAGCAATGGAAAGAGATAGATAGATAGATAGATAGATAGATAGATAGATAGATAGCAATCGAAAGAGATAGAAAGAAAGAAATAGGATGAGATAGATAGATAGATAGCAATCGAAAGAGATAGATAGCAATCGAAAGATAGATAGATAGATAGATAGATAGATAGATAGATAGATAGATAGATAGATAGATCTTAGAAAATAGTCAGCGCAATTTACAAAGAAACTTGTCAAAACAAAAATCTCCATTAAAAAATGAAATGATGGTGATGTAAAGATAAAAGCAAAGACATCATGATAGAAAACCTAACAAGAAAACGTCCAACTGCAGGGAAAGAAAAAACGAACAATGGTTAAGAAAGCCATGACAAGTAAGTTTGAAGAATAACAAAAGAGTCTAATAATAAAGTCAAGAAGAAGGTAAACAGAAAAATCAAACAAACAAAATCTTTAAGCCGCAATAAATAAAAGATAGAAACGAAGAAAACATTCATATGATACTTTACAATATGGACAAACCCCAAAAAATACTTTTAAAAATCAGCGGCAAAAAATGAAATAAAATTAAAGCTGAAGGCAAAAAAACAATTGAAAAGCAAAAGATGGAGATTGAAATCGCGATGTAGATCGATTGAAGAATAAAAACAATGGAGAGATGCGACAAAATAAAAAGAGAAAATGATGTGACAATTCAGACAGACACACCACGAAAAACATGGAAGATTCGTTAAAAAAAATGAAAGATGCTAACGAGATTAGAAGAAAGTGGTGAAGACAAAAAAACATTAGGTAAGTTGTACGCAGATACAGACAACGTTCTCCATTAAAAATGATGACGAAAATTAAATATAGGAAAGCCACAAGTCTTTAAAAATGAATAAACGAGAGAAAACTAGACATGTCAAGAAAGTTCAAGTCAAAAGGTGCTTCCCTAAAATCAAACCATTGAGTGATCACATACTTGCCTATACTTATTCACAGGAACAAGAAAGGTCATATAATGAACAACAGTCTGTTTTTAAAAGCTATATATATATATATATATTATATATATATATATATATATATAATTGACATGCAAACACACACACATACATACATACACACACACATATATAGTATTAGTGGTCAATAGATATATATATAATTGACATGCGAACACACACACATACATACATACACACACACACATATATATATAATATTAATGGCCAATATATATATATATATATATAATTGACATGCAAACCCACACACTTACATACATACACGCACACGCATATATATATATATATAGATAGATAGATAGATAGATAGATAGATATTGAGTGATAGATCGCGTGACACATGGTTAAAAGATTACTTTATATGGGAAACTGAATTACAATTGCCAGACAGCGTTGTTTCATGCGTCCAATTTCTCTATCCATAAAAACATTTTTTTGTAAACTGACCACGCCTACCCCCTCAATATAGCCAATTCTTGATACACACGCACATTATACATACACACACACACACACACACACACACACACATATATATATATATAGAGAGAGATAGAGAGAGAGACAGACAGACAGACAGACAGAGAAAAATTCTTATGAAGCCAACATTTCTTACTATATGTCAAATACCTATGGAGAAATATAAATTACTCTCTATCCTGAAAATTTCGCGTCAAATACAAGAATATTTCATCCAACATTTCTTACAAAATGACAAAATACCAAGAGAAATAATAATGACTCTATTTCTTGTGTATACAGAGGAAAATAATATAATTAGGATTTCTCCATATCATTGTCGGTATTTTCTCAGAAATATTGGATGTATTACACATGAATTTGATGCGTATTATACACAGGAAATTGAATTATTATTCTTTCTCTTGGTATTTTCGTCATTTTGTAAAACCAGCAACAGAAAACCAACAGCAGAAAACCAAAACTAGTTCAACAACAATTTTATTACCTTTTGATAATGTAGAATCGAAACTAGGGAAGGGAATATTTAGCCGAGAATGACAACTGTTTTCAGAAAAGGCCACTACTATTGCTCCTCCTGATACTCCTCTTGATGTAGGCGTATTTTCATGAACTTTACTCCGACGGCCGAGTCTAAACTTGTATGGAAATATTCTCCCCCCCCACGACATAATGCCATTCGATCAAACATCTTCCTTAACGTACGGCTATACACGTGAACGATGTAGGCAATATCATTGTTTCGGATTATAAGGGCGCCATGAATGATCTTTTCACAAATTTCAGAATAATCACAACCTACGTGAAATTAATGGGCATTACAATAAATAATTTTGTGGGGATCACACGAAGACATCCGTGCAACAAAACTACATTCAAGATTCTGGATATCGCCGAGTCGTTGCTGTTAGTGACAGTTTCTTCTGTAAAATTACTATGTTAACGACCTCGATATGTTTGAAATAAAAATAAGAATGGAAACATTGGCGCATGCTACGTAACATTACATTGTCTGCCATTTATGACCTCTTAAATATATGTATATACAAATATATATGTTGGATATACGACAACTACATTAACAATGCGTCTTGCATATGTCTGACCATTCGTCCATTGCGAGACATATACACCAACATTCCTGTCTGCATTACTGATGGATAACACAACATATTCTACACCAAGAAAATAACAAATTCAAACTACAGATCCTCGAAGCAATCTACATTAAAAACAATTAAGGCCGACACTGAATAGAATCATCTACGAATACTGTAGTAAAGTTCTGAAATGCCTATATTAGAACAGTTTTTTTCAAGCTTTAATGCGAGCATAACCATGACATTACAACACTGAAGAAAAAATTCCATAGTGGATAATTTTCTTTCACGTCCTAATAAACGCTAAGCATGACTGTCAAACGTTACATTTAAAAAGCAAAATGTAAAAAAAATACAGTAATGGATAGCATCACACAGTTTTTTTTTTATTACTACTTGCACACTTGACCAACACACAATTTTATATTACTACTTGCAACCCTGAAGATGATCTCGGAAGAAGATCGAAACTACTTGGAAAATAAAAGTGATTTTCACAGTAATAGCACATTTCTCACATCATTTAATTGCAATTCACGGGAGGTTATCCGTGTGTAAATAATGTCTGTAATTTATTTAATCAGGTATGCCTGAAAGAAAATTTATTGCCTAAATACACAAAAATATATATATATATATATATATATATATATATATATATATATATATATATATATATATATATATATATATATATATATAAATACCTGACATAGGCATTTTACATATCCATTTTTGCATCTCTGCTCATATCATGCAGACATTTAAACATCATAAGAATAGGTTTACAGGTAATAACATGGAATAACCGTGACCTGAAAAAATTAACGAATGTCTATACATTTTTTTTAAATAAGATATAAAATGAAATGTTTTAACTTGTCATTTAATGTCAGGAAATTTAAATAAAGCGAGAAGTGTCTGTTCTAATTGGATTTATTTTTTAAAAGAATGACACATTCAACGTTTATTAGTATCATTCATTTTCACCGTAGTTCTCACCATTAGAAATCAAGTAACACTAAGTCTCCAGTATTTACTTAGTATTCACTCTTAATGCCACGATGACGTCTCATTATAATCGTCATCCTCATCAACCCAATAACCAGGCGTGGCCAAAAAAAATCTCCCTCTATATGTGTCAGTAGCGGGCCAATGTCTAAGGAACTGTAAACGATCATCCCCACCGCCCTGTGCAGTAGTAAACACATTTCTTCTTTTTACTTAAAGTTATTTCTTGTCGGGTTATAGTAGAAAGATTGTTGGCCCTTGTGACATAGTCATGCCATATCAACAGAAAAGAATGGTTCTGAGGCACTTAATTTCCAATTCTTCGCTGTAATTCTGCTATTAATATCCGAGATTTACAGATTTACAGACGGATTGGTCAACGCATATAAAAGTCTGTTCTTTGGTTTCTGGCAAATGTTCTTGTCTTTCTAGGTGTCATCTACGTCGTCTTAATTCTTCCTCAGATCTATAATTATTCGAAATTCTTTGCAGAGGGATTTGAGACTATTCCCCGTATACCAGTGATTTCAGGTACTACAGTCATGTTTATTATTTACAACTCCGGCAACTGCTGAACAAGTGACTGAAACTGATCTACTATTGTCAGTAGTAATATGACAAATATTTCTTCGTAGCATAAAAATGTTTCGCGATAATAAGTATTTTTCACTGTAAAAGATATAATGTTTAATAAACACTCAGAGACGCGAACACATTAATGTATAGGTTTGTGTGTGCGCACCTCCATGTATGTGTGCGGGTGCGCGCGCGCCTCCGTGTATGCGTGTGTGTGAGGAGTAGCTATTTACGGGAGAAAGAGAGAGAAGATTTGGATTAATAAACTGATATTCGATATTATAGACGATCAGTATATATTGATTTGCCGTCGTTTGAAATAAAGCCTAGAGTTAAGATTGAGCTTTAAGGGCCGAAGGAAAGTGATAAATCTCGTTTTTAGTCTACGGATTCTAAGATCGGATTTTAAAAAGGAACAGTCACTGCAGTACATTTAATTCTGATGTTCGTCCATTGTGAACTGCCTAGCCGAACAGCAAAATCTTTCACCTACACACATTACACAAATCTTCTCCCGAAAGAAATCTGGATCTCATTTTGTGCATCAATGTTTGCAGGCATTTTCGGTGACCTGATCTACATCCGCCTGTTTTATAGATAGGCCTGAGGCGTTTATTGAACAGGTCATTCTGAACTTAGGCCGATTACGTGACAATGTCAATGGACCTCGGGTTACACGCCAACAAACTAGAGCGTTCTCCTGTTTCTAGCAGTAAATGTTCGTGCTTAACAGGAAATGTAAAAAGGAGTAATAATTGCTTATACATCAATACATTGAAATTTTCTCCGGTAAAATTCTCTTAAAACAAGAATTCAAAACGAAAAGCTATTAATATAGCATAGGAATTTCTTTAGTCTTCTTAAAAATGACTTTAAAATGGAAAATTGATTTGGTATATATTTTTCTGAATATGAAGATTTTTATATGAAGTTTTATATATATATATATATATATATATATATATATATATATTAAAAAGAAGAGGGGTGCCGCAAACGTTTTTGGTTGTAATATGGATTTATTGAGAAAAAATATTATACTTTGTTTACATAATTTACATAATCTGGGTATCGACGTTATAATTGTTCAGTAATCGTCTTAATTTTTCAATAATCGTTTAAGTTTCTTTTTGGCGTATTTAAACTGAATTGCTCAATTTCGAAGCTTCCACATTTAATGTTTTGCTAAATTTCTTGCAAAAAGAATAAAAAATAGAATATCTATTCTATTTAATATCTATTTAAAAGCATTGACCAATACATTTTATTTCTGTCTATTTTTATTATGCAGACGAATATAAGGGCAACATGCATTTTTATTTATTAATAAATGCATCGAAAATACGAACATTCATTTGATTAACAATAGATAAACAACATCGAATAGAAACTTAAGGTAACCGTATTCATCAAAACTGAATTACTAGTTGGTTGGCTTATTGAATTATTTAGCGGCATATCAACGCATCTATGGGTTATTTAATGCCAAAGTCTACATATTTTCAGGGTATCATAAAATGTATTGTTGGTAATTTTATATATATATATATATATATATATATATATATATATATATATATATATATATATATAAGCAACTTTCGGATAATAACTGTGACATTCCTCTATGTATTGAAAAATTTAGTTCATGCCGCACAATCTTAAAATTTAAAAATTCGACCTCAGCGTTGCGACCGCACGCTCCAAAATTTCTTACAATTAACAATAACACATTTCTAAAAACATATTTCGGATTACAGCTATTCTTTCGTTGTCCTGTTATTACCGGGATGTCAAAAACAAATGATGATGTCTGTATGCACAGATGAAAGCTTTTAAAATTTTTTTTTAAAAAGACCTTATGCAACTGGAATTTATAAACAGGGATCATAACATTCATCTACAGGTTCGGGTTTAATGGACTTTATTAAATTTGTTTGCGGAGATGGATTCTCGCCATTTATATCATTAACTTCAATATCTGTTTGTTGATTCATGTAATGTAAATTGAACTGCACCACATACTTGATATATATATATATATATATATATATATATATATATATACATTTGTGTGTTATAATGATTGTCATTCTTCTATAAAATATATTTTGTTGATCATTTTATTATAAAAATGAACTGTTGATTTTTGTTTGGAGGTTCACTATTTGCCCATACCTGTGACCCTAACAGGTGCTACCACCCCGGGTCAGGGAGAACCTGGGAAGAACAGAAATTAAGAAGTTGTTCCACACTCACCAAAATCTCCAATTTCCCAATCAGAAACCTTGCTGGTGGATGTAGGTATCGTCACACCAAGGATGACGAATCATTAGTAAGTAAACAGCCTTTTATAGAGGGTGCTTAGTATTGAAATGGGTAGGATCTGATAGGTTTAGTCTTATCAATATTACATATATATGAAGATAATATTATTGGGTCAATTTACATAAAGTCTCCTTGATGTCCAATAAACGTTGATTTTGTTACGTTTTACACCGCTTGTATTTTTCAATATTTACATTATTCGGACTATTGTCCTCATCTTTGTCGCCATATGTATTACAACATTTCGGCCGTTGAACGCTGCGGCGTTCTTCAGGTGATTGGAATGTCGAACTGAATCCTTTATTTCGCTCACTGGGCTAGACTGTTCTAGTTCCACGTGTCATGTTTAATGGATGTCAGTTATCAGTTATCTCCTGTTAATCCATTAATCATGGCACGTGGAACTAGAACAGTCTACCCCAGTGAGCGGAATAAAGGCTTCAGTTCGACATTCCAACCACCTGAAGAGGGTCGAATAATGTAAATAGTGTACATAATACCTCATCTCAGAAATATAGACAGATACTGAAGGGCCGAAACGTTGTAAGAAATATGGTGACAAAGATGAAGACAATAGTGTGAATAATGTAAATAGTGTACATAATACCACATCTCAGAAATATAGACAGATGCTTGTATTTTAATATTATTTTCAGCAGTTTTATTGTGTATCGTACGTAGGACTTTCTTGCTTGAATATTCCCTTACTAATTCTTTTTAATGATGGCTGCCATCTTTTCTATTAGATTAATATATGAAATTTCTGGTGGAGGATATAGCATTGTCATCTTTGAAAGTTTTTGTTATAAGGTGGATAATTATAAGAACTGCAGAATGTTACTTAGTTTCTCGGTTTTGATTCCTAAGACCCAAAAATCGACCTGTCCAGGAATTTGCTTCATGTATCTTGACAGATTCCATTTTGAAAGGATATGGAATCATGTCATCTACAATACTATCCAAAATATTACAACCTCCCTACGCTGTCTTCTAAGTCATGTGCAACTTCTACGTTATTCATAGCTAGGACTCACCATGTTATATCCACGGAATCAAATCACCCACATTTCCTCAGTATTCTAAGGAGGAAGGTCCGTTTTTTTAATCGTTATCTATTCTCCTCATTCGTATAATGTTTACTCACGGTGGGATAATGGATAGCGGCTCGGACTGATGAATCAAAGAGCCGAGTTCGAATTGCAATGGAATCCATTACATTCACTTAAGTGCTAATACCCTTGGGAAAGGTATGATTCCACTTCTTCTGCTCCAGCTATGAGTAAATAGCAGGACAGACTATATCCTTGGGTGGCAACTGGTCTACTGCAGAAAAAATGGCAACCTACTGAGGGAAAAATCTACCTCATCAGTCATCTATCGCAAGAAACATGATCGCTTAAGTGTTTATCACGCATGGCACACAACTGACTTCCACTTGAATTCATATCACATACTTTATTCACTAACTATCTAATTTGAGTATCTCTAGAAACATGTAATGGAAGAAAAAATATGTCATTAATCAAACACTGTTAACCTAAAAGTTTGACATCATATTTTAAACAAAAAATATTCGTTCCTGATATCCCAATGAATATTCCAATATTGCAAAAAAATTCTGGTAGCCATATTGTAATTATATTTGCCTTAATATTCTATAAGAATCGGATATTTCTGGCCAAGCATTTGTAACACTAGAACAAAATTTCTTAAAAGAAATGAACTCATCTTGGTCAAATCAATAGCCTGTAGCCAATATCACGCATCACTTGTAACTCTGTTATCTCGCCGTCTTGCCTCTTGGCACTTTCCAGATAATCCCTAAATGCTGACAAATAAATGTACCGCTTATTTAAAAAAAAATCTGTTTTGACGCAGGGCCATAGAATTTTTCAGTTAATCCTTTGAATATTGTCATGAAAGTAGTTTGTTCAATAATAATTACTTCTGAGTCGCTTAAGGCTGTTATATCTTTATTTTCTGGACAGATTCCTCTCTCCGAGTGTGGCGAGCCCTGAGGACTTGCTAGAGTTAGCTTTTGGTTCGAAATTCCGACGTATGAATGAAAGCGTATATTAAAATTATTTGTTATGTGGACTACGACAGAATGGGTGGCAGTCAGCAAGACGAACAACCCAGGATGCGAACAAGGAATCAAGCTAGGAATCGAAGGTGCATTGGAATAGTAAAAGATGCCTTCCAAAAGCTAAGCAAATAATAAAGAAGCAGAAAAAATTAATTAGCAAAAAATAAAAGAAGATTAAACTGTGATAAAATATCGGTCATGGCAGGAGATGTTGGACAAGTTTCACACAAATGAAGAGGCAAGTAGTAAAAGAAATCTAGTACTTGAAAAGGATGCTGAAAATCCCGTGCTCTGAACACGTTAAGAGTGATGCCGTTTTACAGAGGATGGATGCAAAAATAACGCTTAGAGTTCAAATCAGAAAGCGACAGTTTAAATTTCTAGGGCAGATGAAAAGAAAAGAGGGCATAGAGAATCTGACACTCATAGGACATATTTAATGAAGGCGGGGAAGAGAGTATGCACTGAATTTTGCTACCATAGCTGATCTGGTGCTTCTGCTGTGTAATAAGAAATGTAATATATAAAGTAGAGTGTATGTTTGTGTCCAAGCAATTCTTCCGCTCTCACTGTTCCATTTCAATGTTTCATAGCTCATTCAAAAATCCCCAAAAACTTAAACGGAGGAACGATTTTCGGTGAACTCAGATTTAGGGTTGCCAGATTATGCCAGGTTAAATATATATATTAATATATTATACTAGCCATTATCGTTGCTTTCATGGTTCAAAGGGAGTAACTCTTAGGTTTATTTTGTATCCAAGATTGCAATGCACTTTTTTTTATAAACTAGCTTAAAAGCCGCCCGATAGGAAGACGCTTGGGTTAGCCATCATCACAATAGCTAGGGAGGAGTACATTTGATAGGCAGCAATAAACTACAGAAGAATTCAGAACTGATCGGTGTATTTAAGCATTGAATTTATGTTTAAGCATACCTTTTAAAAATTCAACGATAATTCTTCTGCTGACACTTAATTTAAAGACGATTTGATGTACGTAGATCCTTATTTTCCGGATAAATAATTCTTTTTATTTCATGGGTGACAGTACAGGAAACAATTTATAAGATAAAATTAATATAGTGTAAAGATAGGAAAAGAAATTAGAAATAGTTATACATTCAACTTTGGGAAGATTTAGAAAAACCTAATAGGTAATTAAGTGAAACGTATATTATGGAATCTATATGAATAAATTGGATCTAAATTCTCCCACGAATTCTGAGGTTAAAAGCCCCAGTTTTACTTAATAGTAATTTGACTCAACCCTACACGAGGTCAGGTTGTGACACAATGTCGGTTTAATGTGGGGAGCCCGAACGCGTACATCCGGGCTAGGAAAAAAAATTGCCGAGCTCCAGCAACCGTCGGTTGCGCAAGCCTTGGTGTGATCACCGACCTCTTTCTCTGGTGCAATGAGAGGGCGCGGCCTCGGTTAGTTGTTCCCCATGGCTGGGGACCCTCTCAGTATAATTTTTCTCAGTTGAAACTAGGTCCTTTGACAGAGCTGGCCCTCTGTGCACTCTGCCTAAAAACAAAGACGCAACGTAGAGATGATAAATTATAAATAGAAGTGTTACAAACTAATCGAGAGCAGTTTAAACACTAGGTATTTACTCCGTCTCCCCGCTAAGATGTGTTGTGACACAAGGTCAGTTTTTAACATCCGGGCTAAGAACAAAAATTATCCGCGACTCCCGCAACCATCAGTTGTGCTGGCGTTGACTGAAAACTGATATATATATATATATATATATATATATATATATATATATATATATATATATATATATATATATATATATATATGGTGCAATGAGAGCGCGGCCTCAGGTAACTGTTCCCAAGGGCTGGGAACCTCTCCGTATAATTTTCCTTCAGTTGCGACTCTGTCCTTCGACGGAGCTCCCCTGGGCACACTCTGCCCAAAGACAGTGACGCAACTGAGAGATGATATGAGAGGGCGTTACAAACTACACGATAGAGCAATTTGTATGTATTTGAGTTTAAGTTTATTTCATTAACTGTCCTTCAATACTGTTCTTTTATTCGAGGATCGTTTCGATTTTCATATCAAAAATAGTTCTGTTTAGGAATATCGACTTATATAGTTCAGAAAATTGTTTGAAATTTGCATTTTACTTGGACTTCAACAAGTTGGCATCAATTTGTAAAACTTTCCTTAACTATAACATACCAATTTATGAATGAAATGTTCATTTAAATTTTTTGTTTCTAAGATTTCAAGTAGTAAATATATCTTACTCTGCGAAGAGACAGCGAATGGGAGAATCTTGTTAGTTCTTGATAAGATATATAAAAAAAGAATTTTATTGGTCCTGTCCTGACGTAGCATCTGGTCATCTGTCACTTTTTCAACTCCGTAACGTAGCTTTCTTGTATCTTTTTAAATAAATATTTTCATAGGAATACTTCAAATGAGCTTTCCTCTTCGGTACGTAGACTTTATTAATTTAAGCCAAGTATTAGAATGGTGGCAAGGTCCTTTTACAATTGAAATCGCTGCCTTCAGCCGCAATTTCTATGGTAACAGTTTCTTCTATCGCACTTCCAGGTGGTGGAACTCTCTTCTGGATTGTTACATTTAACTCAACTTTGATCTTAAAAAGTTTGAATACAATATCAATCTTCTGTCTTCTTTTATAAACAAGTTTCATTGTTGCAAGTTTGTTTGTTTTTTTTCATAGTGTACAAGGGGCGATGGATAAACTGTCGTCTAAATGAAAACAACACTGACATTTTATTTTAACACATATCTTTACCAAAATTTCGCAAACATATCTTGAAATACTGAAAATTAAATTTCTTCAATAAAATCGGCATTGGTTTCGACTACAGCCTCCAGACGACTTCGAAATCTCCTGTAACTCTTCTGGACGGTCTCCTTGTTTAAGTTGGCGAATGCTGCCATAACCCTTGCCTTCAGTTCATGTTTGGTGTTACAAGGAGTTTTGTTGGTCTCTGGCTCAATTGCGCCGCACAAGTAATTACTTCCTAAACCGGAAAGTCGAAGAAACATTAAAAAATTGTTATCACTAATTCCATGCATGTGTAGAATCCCCTTTTTAAAATGGACTTGTGCCATACTACTTCTTATGAACGTACGAATTAATGTCCAAATTCCATGTTTTGTCATCACACACTATATCGTACGTTCTCTTGGGCACCTCGAGGTGGTGTAATGGTTAGCAAGCTTGTCTCACTAGTAACAATTACGTTTGAGTAGTGAGTTCGACCCTCACAGGGTACCCCTTGCCTTGTGCCACATCCAAGCTACGCTTGGAAAATCACTACTACAGCACCTCGAGGTGGTGTAATGGCTAGAAAGTTTGTCTCGCTAGAACAATTACGATTGAGTAGTGAGTTCGATCCTCACTGGGTACCCCCTACTTTCGGCCTTGTGCCACATCTAAGCTATGCTATCGTATATTCTCTCACTCATAAAGTTTCTCTTTTTTCTTCTTCTTATTCTCCTTTTATATTACTTTATTTCGTTTACTTTGATTTCTTTTACTCTTTCTTTTATTCAGCTCAAATTTCTCTCTTTTCTTTATCTTCTTTTTCGCATCACATTTCTCTCCTCTCTCTTTCTCTCTCTCTCTTTCTTTCTTTCAAATCCTCTCTTTACAGTTGATGGTAAACGCGAAAAAGAAAAAAAAGCGATAGGAAAGTTTTATTTTATAGGAGGATACGATAAGGAGACTGGGTAAGAAAACATAATTT